TGTCCCACAAGAGAGTCCTACAAGACAGTTCTGCAAGAGTGCCCCATCAGAGTGTCCGAAAAAGGATTTGGCCAGGTGTGTATGTTCAGCAGTCACATGTCGCAAATCCTTATGTACACAGAAGTCGCTGTGAGAATGTTTCGTAGAAAGATTGATTGCTGGCCCCCCCTCTCTTAATAGATAAAGATCGGCGTATGTAACCACTCAAACGTGTTTGCATTCGGGTTCGTGGGCTCCATCTTGCTTTGAAGAACTGGATGAGAGAGGGGCATAGAAAAACGACACAAAAGGCAGCGCAAATGGCCCAAAAAAACAATTCTCGGAGGTCTTCAGTCTTGGAATGAAGCACGGAACCACTTTGCAATGTAAAACACTGTACTTTCTGCATGGGCATTGAATCCCCTTAGAATTGTCACTTTCAAAACAATTTCTTTTAAGACAGGGCATTTATCAATGACCACATGATGTTTTTGACTGCCACCACACGTAGCTTTCAATCCTGATCAACTGCAACTGATCATTTCAAAAGCTTCCTGGTGGAGCATTGTGAGGATCCCGCCCTCGTGTTGAGCCTTCCCACAACCCCCGGCGCAGGCCGCCAAGCAGCCTCAGGTCGAGGCTGGGTTTAAAGCATGAGGACGATCGTTTCGGACAGATAATGTGGCCATGTCAGTCTGGAGAACATGCCTGGCGACTCCACCAGCAGGTGCCTGAACGATACGTTAAACATCGAGCGCCGTGGCATTCCAGGACACAGCACCTTTTTTTGGGCATTGGGCAATGGGGCCAGGGATCGTGACCAGGATGAAACAGACTCTACACAGACTCCGTATACACAGACTAGAGATACACTCGAGTGGGTGGGCATACACAGACTAGAGACGACCGCATTTCCAGGAGCCCCCGCACCAAACCTGCAGCCTCACCGACTGTGAGGGAAGACTCGCATCTGACTCAGCAGCTAGGATGCTTTCTCGAGGCTTCGCAATCATATTCTGAAAATGTGTACCGCAACATATATATATATATATAATATATACACATGAAGAGTGTAAAATTTACTGCTACACGTTGTGACTTTGCTAGGATACACTTGCAAGCGGGGATCTGCTCCAAATTAATGATGAAATTCACTCACAAAGGATTCGCCTGCACACGAGCACACTAGAAACGAGAGATACCTGGGTACGCTGACAAAGGAATCTGTTATTCAAAGTTCTCCTCAGGCCGCCACGGACGCCTAGGACTTGGGTGTTCTTGTGCAGTGCGCTTAAAGAACAATAGGAAGACGCATTCCCTGCACAGCTTGACTGCCATAATCTTGCCGGAGACAGGGCCCATAGACGATTTGGATCTCCATCTGAGGGTGTGAGCATTAGCCACACAAAGTGAAGACCATATTGTAAAAACGTTAATTTCCTGACCTCTTCTATGCTGTTTGAAGGACTGTATTCTCGCCCGTTGTAAGCAGATGGTAAGCAGAGGGGTCAGGATGCTCACGGTTCTACAGTGTGCCTTGTCATCTCAAGCTCAGCAGATCACTCAGGAGCTTCATCCGAAGGCCTGTGAGGCAGACCTGGAGGGTACTTCAATGTATTTCAGCATCGCTAAGAACAGTATTCTATGATGAATATTCTATTTATGTGTATGTACCACATACACCAATCCTTTAAGGGCCAAAAGATAAACAGTGGAGCACCAGACTTGAAAAGTACCGAAGCTGATCTGGTCTGAGAACGTTGGTAGAACATAATTTCCACTGAGCTTAATCGAGACTAAATTGGTCATCTTCCTCAGCGATGATTTCGGTGAATCCCTAACGATTCCATCTGCTCACTCTTCCTTCGCGGCCAGACCAGTCTTTTGCGCGGTGATCAGAAGAAGATGTTCATTCCGTTTTTAACAAACCAGGCATCTCAAAAGGCTTGTGTATGCTATTTCCAGGTGGAGATGGCGTCGACAGATGGCCAGGCCCATGAGGGTCTCTTTGGATGTCAGCCAGTCAGACATTTGGAGATGGCATTTGTTTTTCTTGGGCTCAGTGCGCATCCTTTATCTAATGTGAAGACAATTATATATTGTGCTCAAAGGGCTTTATGCTTTGATGTTCAGGAGTGATGACGAGATGTCCCCCAGAGCTGCATCGCATCTTGGCGCAAGATATCAAACAAGTTGTGGGAACAGTTGATGCGCTTTTATAGACGCACAGCAGTTTGTTCCTTTTTCCCCAGATAGCAAAGCTATGGGGTTCTTACTTCAAATAACAATGAGCTGCCTGTGCGCTGCCGGTGCTTGTGCTGGTGCTGTGAGCTGGCTGCGCGCGTGGTGGAGACAGGGTGCCGGTGCTGGTGCTGGGTGCTGGCTGTGCGCGTGGTGGAGACAGGGTGCCAGGCGCCGGTGCCGGTGCCGGTGCAGGGTGCCGGTGCTGGTGCTGGTGCTGGGTGCTGGCCGTGCGCGTG